ACGACTTTCAAAGATTCGCATGGAATGATGTCACCTGAAGAGGCGTTCGAATATTTTTTAGACTGCGATTTTTCTAAATATGCATATGAGCAAACAGTGAAAAAGAACCCATCAAGATTTCCGAGCTGCAATGTAATTAAGAGTATGAAAAAAGTATGCTCACCTTCAGCCGAGTCAATCGAAGAGTCATCATCAAAAATTCAGGTAGACATAAATATCCACATATTTTTCCAGTACACCAACTTTAAATGTTTCTTTCTTTTCAGGTCAAATTACAGGCACTCATGAATCATACAACAGAAAGAATCATTCAAATCATCGATGCGGAAATCGTCCAACAAATGAACATCAACGATGACACAGAGCTAGTGCTTTTAAGCAGCTGGGGTATGGATGGCTCAACAGGCTATTCACAATACAACCAAGCGCTATCAACGCCAAATCAAAAAGATGACAGTGACGTCTTTTCAGTGACAACTACTCCTATACAACTTTATTATAAGAACAACAAGAAAAACATTTTGTGGCATAATTTAACACCCCAAAGCATTCGGTTCTGTAGGCCAATTATGCTGGAATTTATCAAAGAGTCAAAAGAGATGGTGCTTAACACCAAGAGATATATTGAAAATCAAATAAGTCAGCTTGTTCCAGTAAAAATCCAATTATCGAATGGTGAATATGTTTTGGTTGATTTTATTTTCGTTTTGAGTATGATCGACGGCAAAGTTCTTAATTATGTAACTGATACTTCTTCCATGTCCAACTGTCCAATTTGTGGAGCTACTCCGAATGCAATGAGTGATATAGAGGTAATATTTTTTTTTTCAAATTTTAAGGGCCATAAAAATAACAATGTTTTTTTTTATACTTTACAGAAGTTTGAAGCAGGATACGATTCGAACGAAGATGCTCTGCATTACGGCATATCTCCACTGCACGCTTGGATGCGATTTTTTGAGTGTTTATTACATATTTCCTATAGGATGGAAATTAAAACGTGGAAGATCACGAAGGATTTAAAGGGCAAATATCTTGAACGGAAAAAAACTCGTTACTCAAAAAATGTACGAAGCGTTCGGAGTACGAGTTGATCAACCCAGGGCAGGCGGAGCTGGGACCAGTACAACAGGAAATGTGTGTCGAAAAGCATTTTCAACTCCTGAATTACTTTCCAAAGATTTGGATATCGACGAAGAGCTTATTATTAGATTTCGTAATATTTTAATAGTAATCAATTGCCAAGACCCGATCAATCCTAAAAAAAAAATTGATGACTATTGTAAGGAAACATATCAGCGGTATCTTAATTTGTATGATTGGTATAAAATTCCAGCAACAGTGCATAAAGTACTCGCTCACGCTGGAAGCATAATAATCCATTCACCTGCTCCTCTTGGCATGTTAGCTGAGGAAGCAGCAGAGTGCCAACATAAACTACTAAAAAAATGTCGTACCCATCATGCTAGGAAAAGGTCACGAGTTGATAATCTACATGACGTCTTTATTCGAGCTATAAACTCATCTGATCCTTTGATAAGTTCAATAAATCTAGGTAATAGAATCCGAAAGCAGGTATCACTTGAATATCCAGATGTTGTGAAATCACTTTTAGTATTCGAAGATCTTGACAGCTCTGAAAATATAAACACTGAAGGCAATGCACTAGATGCATTAATGGATGATGTTGAACAACTGGATGATAATTTTGGTCTTGATGAAAATGTTGAAAATGAGTAGAATTGCTTGTGAATTTAATTTAGTTTTAAGAGAAAGTTATTAAATAAATTTTATTATGACAATTAGTCAAAGTTTTATTTTGTAGTATATTCATTAGACTGATGCAAAATTTGCCTTTTTCGCTCCACGATGCTTAAATAGTGTCAAATCGGGTCCTGATTAGCCTCCCAAAGTTACAACTCATTTGGTTAGAAACAGACTTCGCACAAGCCATTTGAAGTTTACATGTAAATTACTATGGGAAATCTCAACTTTTTGTTCATTGCCTTCCAGTCTTTTTCCATATAAAGCTGCGAAACAGTTCGATAACTATTCTTATAGAAAATTTTCTCAGCTTCAACTTTGCTGAAGATCGTTTCTATGTAAAACAAGACAGGAAAAAGTTATTAATTATTTAATAGATTGGTAAACTTATGACAAGATCAAGCAGCTGCTCTGTAGGCAACACTGTATTTTGCAGTGTGACATAGTAGCCATGATTTTTGTGTCCTATTCAACGTCCCAGAAACACCAATGTTGCCTGCTGAGCAGTTGATTGAGCATGATCATAAGACATCAACGCATTGAACCATTGATAACATTCGATCCTTCCATTTAATCAAAAAGTGGTCTTCAGCATAGTTGTAGCTGGGAAAATTTCCTACAAGTACAAATGAAAGTTTTTGAAGCAGACCGATATGGTGAATTATCAGATAGACATAAACAAAAATCTTGGTTTTATCATAGTAATTCCCATACAAACTTCAAATGGTTTGTGCCATCTCAGTTTCTCACCAAATGGGTTCAAATTTTGAGAGGTTAGTCAGGATCCGATTTGGAATCGTTTAAGTATTGTGGAGCAAAAATTTCAAATGTTGCATCACTCTAATATTCATCCCTGCAGTATAAAAAATGTTGTTCAACTTAGTTAACGATGTTGATATGTGTTCAGTAAAAATAATGGAAACATAGTAAAAAAAATAATCCTTTCGACTAGCTTTAATGATTTATTTCTCGCCTTGAGTATCATAACGGCATAACTGCATTGATCGATTTGTCTTCATCGATTTTCTCTTTTGTTAATAACTTGACCAAATCGAAGCCAATCGACGTGATTTTTTTACTGACGGAAAAGGATCATAACCAGTGCTGCAAAATTTCGACTCTAAAAACTGATAATAACCAAACCACCCCGTGTCACTCATTTCAGCAGAGAGTCACCATCAGTAGCAATCAATATCAATTGTCAGTGATATAACTATCAGTGACGACGATGTGCAGTTTTTTCATTTGCTGAATTACTATCGAAATCAAATTAATTTAGCAAAACAGTTACATAGAACCATCAAAGTGAATACGAATCATCATCATTATCAGCCTGGAGAACAATAATGTGACACAGAATGCGCAAATTCACAGTTTTTTCACCAAGGGAATCTTTGTCACTGACAAAGAAAAGAGTGAGATTTTGACAAAGGAAATTTTGATTTTCAGTTCTATCAGTGTTGCTGCTGAAATGAATTTTGTCTATATCCACTGAAGTTTTCTCAATGAAAATGACAAATCGCAGCACTGATCATAACATCTTGCCACAGTCCAAAAATTGCGTCGATCGGTTTCGGTTTGGCCAAGTTATTAACGAAAGAGAAAATCGATCAATGCAGATACGCCCTTATGATGCTAAAGGCGAGATTTGGACGGAAAAAATATTTTCAGTAGAGGGGAGGTTCGATAGACAAATAATTCTTCATCAAAATACCTGATTGGTACAATAATACTCTTATATCACATATATGTAAAAATGGGGGAGGGGTCAGGTCTTGGCTAGGAGGGGGGGGGGGGTTTCCACCTCCACCTTTCCTATTTAATCTTATGCACAGCAACCTTATTCTAGTTTTGATTTGCATTTGAACTGTCCCTAAAATTAAAAACAAACTTTCAAGTTTATTGTTCAGGAATAAGTAGCTCATTACTGGGTTTAATACTAGTTACACCTTCCGGATGCGATGAAAAAACATAAATATGACAAATTGTATGCTTAACTTACTATAATACCATCAAAAAGTGCGGAAAAACCAATAAAATATTTTTGGCCACCACTTTGTATGGAGCCGCCCCATAGTGCACTGTCGTACAGTTCACGTGAGATATTTTCTCTCCGTTTTTTATTTAATTGAAAGCAAGAGCGTGATGCGCTGGAACACAACTGAAGTGAGAAAAGTAGTTTCGTATCCCATTTACAGTTGTGTATGTGTTTTTTTTTCAAGAAAAAATATTAGTTGCAGTTTGAAATAGAACTGCAGATCTGCAGCTACCTTTAAAGAATCGATTCTTTGGAACAGCTCCGGAGTGGATTGCCCATCCCTGCTGGAGTCCCCTGAAAATTTGGATCCACTATCTGGATATGTCTTCACGGATTCTGAGTCTAGTTCCCAAAGACCTTAAGATCAACGTCTGAGTCTCTTGTAGATTTCCACAATAAACTCAAAAATTCCTTGTCGCATAAATGCACTAAACCTGCACCGTTCGAAAAATTCATGTAAATTTCTGCGAGATATAGCGCACATAAAATTCACGTTAGATTTGGCAAAAATTTACGCGATATTTCGTGTAAATTTAAGCGCAATATCGCATAAATTAGCAATATTGTATGCAAGTTTGTAAACGATTTCGCTGTTTATGCACAGTATAGCTCAAAATTAAACTAAGGGAGATTTTGCGCGATAGCTAAAATTCAGATTTTTTTCTGTGTTGTGCTAAAATCCTTCGAGCCACATATAACCCTTCCTTTTCTTACCCAAAAATGGTCCCGCTAATCTTCAGGAAAGCTACATCCCTGTATCGTTTTCTCTCACAAAAGCGGAATGATCCGAAATGCTCAGTGTCAATTTTGCAATTCAATTGCAGCTCAATCCCTCTTCTGAGATAACCAATGCCGTTGAAGTACACCCTTGTTTATTTTCCTCCACCGCTGAGACTCATAAAATTCACACTAAGTTGCACCGCTTTGCATCGATCAAAAACTTGGAATGACTTTTACAGCAAAAAAGTTGAATCAATTTTCGCCTCCCCCGCAGGGTTTCAAAAAACAATTTCCCACCCAACCGAACGCATTGCCTGTTTTTCGCACTTGTTTTTGGCATCACATTACCATATTTTTCCAACGGGAAACAACCTCGATACTGCATGGGCCCAGTGGGAAGGAGGGGGGGGGGGGTGGTTTGTAAACTTTGACGTCCCCTCCCCTTCTCTGTTTCGTTGCGGTGGTACATGGTAGATTACTCTGCTCTAGGTGTGTTTTGAACGGGGAAAGGAAATTCACGACGACAGAGTGAGAGGAACAAATTAAAATTTAAATTAGTTACGAACAAATGGGAGCTTTTTCCTTGTCGCTTTTGCCGAGGGGAAAAGTTTGCTCTTCTCGCCCTTTGAATACAAGTTTATTGATTGTTTATTTTCATTTCGGTTTTATAAGTTTGGATTTATATAGCAAATCTTTCGTTTATCACATTTTAAGAGCTTCTTACCGTCCGTCTACTGGGGAAACAAATTGCGCTTACTCCCTCAGTAGGCTACTCTCAACGCATCTCTGCAACAATCTTGCTCAATTCAGCCGAACTCCCAAGACGCTTCCTCGGATGCTTCTTTGTAACACTAATTTGGACCTTTTACTCGATTAAAAAAATAATCACTATTATGTACAACGAGTTCGCTTCCAATATTGCAGGATTCAGAAATAGAGCTATACACATACTGTTTCTTCGCTTACAGACTAGAACCTCATTCTCGCTCATTCTTACCTTCGACCACCATACTGAGTTTCTGGTAAATTGTGGTAGGATAACTAATTCCCTCACCTCCAGACCACCGGTAGGAAATTACTGCGGTCGTGAAACAGAAGAAATAAATACGAAATGCTCAACGAATCCCAGTAGTGCCGGAATGCCGGATCTGCCTGCACCGTCCGGACGAGCATTAAAATATCAGAATCCTAGATTTATGTACGACTATTAGCAGCACGTTCAGGCAGATGATCATAAACCGGAAGCGCAACTTGAGCGCCAAACTGCTGAGGGCACTCGCGTGGCACAGCAAATCCTCCGGGAACATCTCCAGGAAGGGTAACCGCCGACCGGTCTGCGGATCCGTGCAGGTGCTTCGCTTCGCCCGCTGTAAAAAAGGAAAGGAAGAGAAAAATCGGTGTAAGTGGGCGCAAGAATTATTGCGGTTGATTAAGTGTGGCTCTTAAAGTATGAGTGGGTGGTGGAAATGGGAACGGAGGAAGGGGCGCTTCCGCAGAACAGATGAGTCAGTAAATAAGAAAACAGGCCCGGGGGAAAAGTTTACCGTCGCCTCCAAGTGAATCGCTTGAGTTAAGTGAATATTTTATAACTTTTTCTTCTTGATTATGTGTGCCATCGAAAGCGCTTTAAAATGGTACGTAGCAGCAAAAATACCTGTATATAAATTTCACATTTCTTTGCAATGTACTTGTAATCACCATCTGTAAAATATTCAGTGAAGCCGTTAGATTTTCATTGCACATCACTAAAATTCTCAGACAAAGGTAAAGGTAAGTAGGGTTACGGTATGTAATGTGGGTCTAGTCCTTTCATTCGGCCTATCACGCAAATAAATAATTAATTAAGGAATATTACACAAAAAATAAGGAAAATATTGATCACTGATGATTGATAAATGTGTACCACACACAAATCAATTTATATCACAACATTTCAATACATTTTCAGCTCTCGTAAGTAATAAAACTGGTTGAGAATATCACTCTGTTCGGAGTTTTTAGCCGCCATGACTTCTAAGGTTAAGATGGGAAGGTTGCACTGACGATCATCAAATGGCCTGATTATGGCATTTATTGAATGGAATTACCTGATAATACACACTAGACGTAAAACTCACAGTTACTGTTTGAATATTTTATGTTTATTTTAATTGTTTAACAACGTTTTCACAAGTAAATCATGGACCCAACTTTAGGGACACATTTCTTTTCTATGTTCCTAACTTTGGCCCATGAAATTCATTTGACAGCATATAGCAATAAGAGTAACGTCAACAATGTGGTTTGCATTTGGATGATAAGGAACGAACAGGAAGGGAGATTTTTTCTGCCAAATCTGTATAATGAACATCACAATGTTTTGATTTAGATATTCTGCGGTCGAAAGACGATAAGCGAAATTTTTAATTTTTAATTTTTAACTTGAGTGATTTAATGTAGTTTTCGTAAAATTTTCTCTAAGAAATGTTTTGAGGAATGAAGAGTATTAAGTTAACAGTGATAGTGATAAAAAAAAATACATAAGAAAACGTTACCAAAAGCGTTTTTTTTTGAGAATCAAACAGGATAGGACGAAGTTGCATCCATAAATAGACCCAATTTGGGGACAATAGACCGATATTACATACATTTCCCTGGTGAGTTTTTGTCTTAAAAAAAGTAAGTTTTTCAACTTTTTGCGGTTCCTGATAGCAAACGACATGATAAGCATATCTAAGCATACCATTTAGCAGTAGAATATCGTTTGCAGGTAAATTAATTGATGAGTTATGATTAAAAACGTAATCTATGGCTGCATATTAGACCGAGGTTAGGGACGTATACCCTATATAAGCGTACATTTCGTAGTTGCCTAAAGTGAAGATATATATGAGATTTTAACCCATTAAGCAGTTCCACCCAGGCACGTAGCCATGGGGTGGACTATGATGCTGAAGTACTCCCTTCCCCCGAAATTATTATCATCATGTAAAAAAAAACTGACCCAAGCTAATGGATATCTGTTAGCTGTACTGTACAGGTAATCGATATCCATTACCTGGGTAAAGTTTTGTTTTTTATTTTTCACATTATATTAAAATAATTTATGGACAAGGCTTCAGCCCTATAGCCCCCCTGGCTATAGGACTCGGGCTGTACCTATATGTTGTACATGATTGTTTGATTATGTTTGCAGCAATTCTGTTAGAGATCATGGGACCATCGAGTTTATATGTAAGATCAGCCTCGTTTCACTTCCATAGGAACTAGGGTGTAGCCCCAATTTTTAACCCACTAAATACAATCCGCTCTTTAGCCTTCTTTTTCAAGCAGGATTTCACACAAAATAGAATGTTTGTACAACAAATGGCTTCTTAATTTATTTATCTTTCCTTATGGACCATTGGATTTTATGAAGAGTCACACATTGTTTCTATTTTTTTAACTCTTTATTTGTTCCACATTCAAAATAAATCACATTTCAATTATACCTAGGTGCTCCAGCCACTACAGTTACTAACCAGCTGCAGTTTATATGATATATAGTTAAGTGTGTTAACATTGTTCCTGCATTGGCAATTCAGTATTTTAAACAGCTTTTCTAAACCTGCATGTCAGTATAACAATTAACATCACAACTAAAAACTAAAACTATATCTTATCTAAGTATAAAGGGAATTACCTTATCGTTGCAATTGAAGATTGCAACGATTTTTCTCTGAAATTATTAAATATTTTGTTGGACATTTGTTCTGAAGTGTCAACATTCAAAATTCTATGTACCTCGGTAGTACCAGGGAGGAAACTTCAAAATCATCTTCAGAACTTTATTCTTAATCATTTGAAGTGCTTTTTTCCTGGCTTTGCAAGATCTAGATCATATTGGCACAGCATGAAGCAGGCTGGGTCTAAAAATTTATTTAAATATTAGAAGTTTATTTTTCAGGCAAAGGTTGGATTTTATGTTTATAAGAGGATAGATATATCTGTTACATTTGGCTTGAAAGCCCTCAATGTGATCTTTAAACACTACCACTTTCAATCAAGGGTGCAAATACTAATTTCAGCTAAACAATTTTTTTTTATTCTTAAATAATTAGATGCAATGATCATATTTTGAATTGGTAGGATACAAGAAGAGGTTGCAAATAATGTGTTTGACATATTGAACCTGTTTATTTCACTTCATGAGAGTCACAATCAGCGATTTTTCACACACTCACTCACTCACTCACTCAGCGCTCAGAAAATCGCTGATTGTGACTCATAGAAAGCAAACTTTACAGGTTTTATGTTTCAAACGCATACTTTGTAACCTCTTCTTGTAAGTTACAAGTAAAACATGTCATCATACCATCTTTTGGTTTTATTATTCCGAAAAACATTATTTAAGCAGAAATGAGAATTTGCAACCTTGCTTTCAATAGGATAACAACTAAATCTGTGGAACACATATCGGCTCTTAATCATGCGAGCAGTGTAATACAGGTTTTAAAAAAGAGACGAGTTAACGTTGAAGCAAAATTCGCTGAAATTTTCAATGCAGCCTTTTATATCTGTTTAATATAGCGCAATTACGACTCCAAGTGCATCCAAGCTAACAATACGTGCAAATCAACCAGTGGAAACAGCAGAGGAATACTATCGAAGAGCAGTTTTCATACCATGTCGCAATGGATTGATCCAAAACATAATGGAACGTTTCACACAAAATGGTAAAATCCTTCTGGTGTTGCCTGGTTCAACAGATATTGAAAAGTCATCTCAACTTGACAAACTTAACTGTTATTTCGGTGATTTTACCAGCATGGTTGCAGTAAAGATGTAATACGAGCTCTGGTGCCGGACATCTATAAATATTAACAAGAATTTTGAGGCATTCGGGGTGCTTGATAAATGTGACTCGACGTATTTTCCAACAATCAATCTTTTATTGACGATTTTGGCGACACTCCCGGTCACTACAGCCAGTGTGAAGAGATCTTTCTGCGGATCTATTTGCTTTTTGCTGAAGGAAGTGTTACTACTACCTAACGCTACAACAAATTTAAGCAGCACTTTTCAGTGCTCAGCCTGTAAAAATTTTCTACCTTGTTCAACTCTTATTCCTCTTCGATCCTTGTTTGGACCCTACCCGAGGTAATCCTTCTTGGATATCGATTTGGAAAACTCTCTTCGATCCTTCAGATTCTTATAGTAATCTGCTTGGAATTCGATTTGGATAAAAAATTACTGCCGCCATGGCACCTATACACAAAAGAAAGGGGCTAACTCTTGATCCCCCTTCTGATGAAATTAATTCGAGTAATCAATTTGATTTGCTCACGGATGATGAGAATGATCCATCATCCAAGAAAAATTCTAGTAAACTTTCCCGGCTTAATGCCAAGAAGGAAAAGATTCCCCCTATTGTGATAACCACTACCGATTTCCATGCTCTTCGCATGGAACTTTTGAGTTTCGTGAAAGTTAAGTTTTCACTACAAATTGGACGTCGGGGTGAATGCCGTGTATTGGCTGAAACCTTGGACGGATTTAAATGTCTTCTCAAGTATCTTACTGAGAAGAAGCACAAATTTTTTACTTACGACACCAAAACTGAACGTGTGTTCAAGGTTGTCATGAAAGGACTGTCCAGTGGTGAATCCCTGGATCAGATCAAAGATGAACTGGCAAAATTACTTGGAGTTGTGCCACTCCAAGTAATCAAAATGAAAATGAAATCCCGTCCTGGCGATTCGCGCAACGGGATTTCTAATGATTTTTACTTAGTTCACTGCAAGTCTAGTGAACTAAACAACCTTAAGGCCTTAGAAAAAGCTAGCCTTATGCTCCATGTCCGAGTGAAGTGGGAACACTTCAGGAAGACTGGAGGAAATTTCCAAAACCTCACTCAGTGCCGTAAGTGCCAGGGATGGGGTCACGGAACTAAAAATTGTTACATGCCAGCTAAATGCATGAATTGTGGTGATTCCTCTCACGCAAAGGACGACTGTCCTGTGAAGGAAGATTCTAAGAAATTTAAATGTTCAAATTATGGTGAAAACCACAAATCCAATTGTTGGGAATGTAAGACTCGCAAAGCGTTCAACCTCGTTCTAAGCGACAGGTAGGAAACGCTCTACGTTTCCGACAAGGTACTAATTACTCTGCTGTTAACAACGGTCAGCGAGGAACAAATTCTACATTCGTACCCGTAGGCACAAATATCACTCCTGCTTCAAAATACCTACTCCCCTCGCTGCTAACAATGTTCAGCGAGTTAATGGAGCTACCTATGCTGCTATTGCAGCGGCTAGAAATAAAAATACTAACCAACGTAATTCTAACAAAAATTTTGAAAATTTTGACTTAGGAAGCACTACTGCTCCTAAAATTGAATTTTTAC